AAGGACTATCAGGTTTCTGTAGCATTTGTAACTTTAAAAAAATCTTAAAAGAATGTGAATGCAGTCAGTTTTATGGTGAATCCACGTGCATTGCTTCAACAATGAACACATGAACTTTTTTTTACCTTTGGGGGAAACACTGAAGGACTTAAGAAGAGAGAAGAAAAGCCAAGCACTCTTTCCCTGCTGCCAGAAGGCAAATGGAACTGGGTGTGATACACAGCATCACCACTTCTCCCAGCTGTAAAACAGCACAAATCAGTTCTTCCCCTCAGAATTTCGTGAGGCCAGCGTCAAAGTACAGTGAAGGGACACGACACCCAGCAGGAACAAACTCAGAGGACATGACTGGATTGCCTGATCAGAGCTGCTGAATTCCAGCCAGGATGGCTGATTTTCCCCAATTTGTCTTGCTGGCAAGAAGCAGGACAAATGATTTTTTCCAGCAGAGAGGCGAGGAGGCCAGGAGAAGAAGTAGTGTGATAAACACCCCAGCTCAGAGCTCACAGGCAGAGCATCATGCAGTGGACATATATGTGCACAGCAACGTGGATGTATGCCAAATGCATCCAGTTAAGGCCCATGTGCATATCCAATTGTACATGCACAGTGTTGCACATAAGGAACCAACTGCTACACATCTACAAATCTTTTCCCAAAGCCAGCACAAGCACATTTTTTAAATAAGCCAGGTGGACATGCAAGACTACACCAGGTGTTAGCAGGAAGATAACTTTGCTTCAAATTAATGGTATTTTTAAATACTGTCTTAAAAAGCACTGCAACTTTTCAGTTTACAAATGGAGTATATCAGTATAATCCAAAAAGACAGACAGACATTCTGACTTCGTATCTTTATAATAAATCTACATGCATGGATAACTTTCTGCCCAGCCTCTCTGCTTCCATTTTGGCCAGACACACAGCACTGGTTAAGCATGTCTGCATTTGTTTGCCACTGATTAATCAGTCAGGCATCAGTTTGATGGAATAAATTACAACCTTCAGGCACATATGCAAGGTATGTTTTTAACTGGCTACTTTTTGAGGTATTAGATTCCTAAGTAGTTCCTCTTTTATAGTATCTTTGTTTTTCCTAACTACTGTGGAGCTACAGGTCATAGCCATGAAGAATTTCATGCACGATCTGCATTCCAGAAATATCACTGAACAAGTGCAAATAATTATTTCTATTATTATACCAAATGAATTTGTCTGCCTGGTTGAAAATAAGAGTATCTCTGTAATTTTTTTTTTCAGTACTTTTTGATCTACAGAGGTTCATGTATAATCTGTATGTACATATTTAAAAATACATCACAATTTGGACTACTGAACAGATCAAGAGAAATTTGTTGAAAAGTCAAGAAAGCATATGACTTGGTGAAACAAACAAACAAATCCCCTCAATCTTCTCCATGTGATTAACAATGTACTTTTTCTGCTCCTTTCAATGTCTTTGAAATGGAAAATCCCAGGGAAGTAAAATATTGATAGCTATTGTATAAGTTAATTAACAACTACGGCTAAACTTAACCTCAGTTTTCAAATTTGACAAATTAACAGTTTTAAACTCTCAGGAAGTTAATCTTTAGTCTCAAACAGTTGTGTCCAATTCTTACGAGGAAAGAGTCAATGTGTGACTGTCAGCATTAGTCACTCATGGAAATGTACCTGGTGAACTGCAGACCCAAACTGCAGTTATGCACAGTGCTGTGCAGCTCCCTGGGTGCAGTGGAAATGACAAACACTGCATGTCTTTTCCAGAAGACATGGGGGAACAGGGTGTTGAATGAGGACTGCCACCACAGTCATCACTGTAACAATGCAGAAGTGACTTGGCTGTCCCCAAGTTTTTATCAGCGCTCACAGAAGCAGAGTGTGTGAGAAATCATTTCGTTCTCAAGACATTAGTGCAGGTGGGGAAAGGATGCACTTGCCAGCATTCCCAAATATCACCTTGGAAAGGGCACTTTGCAGTGGAAAGCACCAAGGACAGCCCACAGCAGGGCTGGCACTGAGACTGAGCAGAGACTTCCAGCATGGAGGGGGTGGGAGGATTGTGCTGCTGCCACCACTTCATCATCACCTTTATTACACAAACGTGCCAAGAAGTGCCAATGAAAACTGACCCGTCCCAAACCCACACTTCCTGCATGTCTCCCACTTAGCACACATCTTCTGGGTCTGACAAATCCAAGCTAGTGATTTGACTGCCATTTGAATGCCCCTCGTATTCTCTTATTTCCATTTGCATCATCCAGGAAAAAACCAAAACAAACAGATGCACAATTCCATGACAAAAGGTGCCACTCTTCTCCTGGAGCATATGGCAAATATTATGGTAAGGACTTTTACATAATCTGTATGCTTATCAAATGTATCTTTCTTTTTTCCACAGAGGGCTGGGGCATAGAACAAAGAGAGTGAACCCTTCTTATCTGCTTATGTCAGTCTACAATGGCAGAAAATACAAGAAATGGAAACCAAAAGAGCCACAGGGAAAGGAAGTTCAAACATGTGCCAAAGAGAGTCACTGCACTTCAACACAGAGCTGCTCTGCTGTGCATGCACAGTTCTGTGCATACATCTTAAAAGACACGCAGAGATTTACAGTGCAAGGTGGGACAAGCATGGCAGTTACTGCATGGTATGCAACTGCAAGTGGTAAGAGAAAAGTTTCTCTGTTCTGGGCTTTCCATACAGTACAACCTGTGCATCCAGTATTGACCTTCTCATGAGAGGGTTCTTGTGGTACTGGACCACGAAGGAGTATTTTTCTTTAGAAAATATGGAAGAGGGAGTTCTAAAACCTGAAGGTTGCCACAAAAATAAACTATGCTTGTGAAGGCCTGTGGTCTATAATTCCAGTGTAAGGAATAACAGCTACTGACTGGAATGCAGTATTACTTTGGATATGTGAATGGCTCTTGCCTGGAACTGCTGTATCTTTTTATTTCTGACACTCTATCAATTAAATTGTATGGAAGTCCGCACCGGGACTTGAAAACCAAGCTGCTATATGTGTATAAACTAATAAACAAAATGGAGAAAAATGCAACTATTGTATTCTTGTTTTGAAGAGAATGACAGCTTTTTCCAGTATCATTCTGGATATCTGTAATAGCTGTTATGTTTTGTGTTTTCTTAAAATGAGATCCTACTTTCAATTGCTGAAATATATAAACTTATGATGGTGCCTTCCCCAAGAACATTGGAAAAATGCCATGATGACATGTAGCATACCAAAAGAAAGGAATTATTGAATTTCTCAATTTAGACTCATAAATAGCTTAAAGGAAGGTTAATATGGCATTTCCTCTGTTGAAGGGAGGATGAAGGTTATAGTTATAATTTCTCAATGAAATAAGATTATGAAACACATTTGGTAGTTTTTTTCAAAACTTTCATGGTGCCAGTGGTTCATCTGCTGTTAAATGCCCAATACTGCCATCTTCTGTACCCAAGAAACAGCAAATTATGTGTTACTTTACATGTATGTTCTGCACAAGGAACAGTGGAAGTACCACTGATGACAACTCCTTCATTTTAAGAGAGTCTAGCTAGGATCTGGCACATGGTTAAGTAAGAGCAGGGAGGTCATGGTCTGAATATTCATTGGTCAAGTGGCAAATGTAACTGCTGACTACAGCAGTCACATGCTTGCTTTGAGTAACTTCACTGAGCTTCAGAGTAAGAAAGAGGATACTCATTATGCTGTTAATGAACAGCACAGTCAATTAGTCAGATTTTGACAGAGCCTGCTGTGGTGTGCTTCACCGTCAGCAGCTCCGGCTGTTTCTGCAGTGTACTACCTGCAGGATGCAAGCAATAAGCTCCTACATTGTGGTTTAGGAGAGTAATTTAGACCTTAATCAACAATGTACATTATTAATAGCTATGCAAAACATGCCCGAATGAAAGCTACAAGCACACTGCCTCTGAAGGCTGCAATCTATCACTCCTGTCACAGAGGAATTGATTACTGACAACTTGCATATTTCCACCCATCACACCCATGAGGGTCTGTGTGGAAGAGTTTCCTGCCAGGAAATGCGTTTATAATCAGGTCAGGTACTATGCCTCAGAGACGCTGATGGGAATACATCAGCAGTGTGAGCTAAATTGATCAATGCACTGGAACTGTGACTTCCCCCAGCTCTGAGAGGCTGTGCGGCAGGGCAGCCATGGGACACGCTGAAAGCACACCTCATGGCAGGCACTGAACACCCTGCTCCCCTGACAATTCCCAACACAGCCAAGCCAGCTCACACAGAGCACGGGCTGTGGGCAGGCAGTCACTGCCCGGAGCATCACTCAGGTACTGCCATGTGCACCCCAGGCAAGCCCAGACAGCCCGGACGGGCACCCAGCCACCCACAGCACTGAGGACATTGCACAGAGGCAGGAAAGGCTCAGGGAATCGGGCCTGTTCAGCCTTGAGGAGACCACTGCGAAGAGACCTCATCAACACATACTAATGTTTAAAAGGAGATGTCAGAGGAAGGGTCCAGAGAGGGACCGTGTTCTCGGTGGTGCCGAGCAGTAGAAAAGAGGCAACGGGCAGAAACCGATGCACAGGAAATTCCACCTGAACACGAGCAAGAACTTCTTTACTGCGTGCGACCAAGCACCGGACCAGACTGCCCAGAGAAGGTGTAGAGTCTCCCTCTCTGGGGATATTCAGGAACAGTCTGGACACAGCCCTGCGCCCTGTGATGGCCCTGTTCGAGCAGGGAGGTTGGAGCAGATGATCCACTGTGGTCCCTTCCAGCCTGACCCGTTCTGTGGTTCCGAGACAGCCTGGTTCTGTGCACTTCCTCGCTTGCGGTCCTTGAGGGAGTTCGGTAAATCGGGCTCCCCATTCCGCCCTTTCCGTGTCCCCATTCCCCCCTTTCCGTGCCCCCAGCGCCGCACGGACCCCGCCACCCTCAGCGCGCGCCCAGCCCCGCGCGCGGCCGCCGGAACCGATTGCGCGCCCTTCCGCCGCGGGGTCACGTGACGTCCCGTCGGTACCGCAAGATGGCGGCGCCCATGTTGGTGCCCGAGCCCCCCCTGGGGAAGCCGAGGTGAGGCCGCGGCCGGGCCGGGGCTGGGACCCCCCGGGGCAAGGGGAGGGGTCCGCGGGTTCCTGCGGAGAGTCGCGGACCCGTCCTGGCCGGGACCGCCCGAGCGCACGACGGCCGCGGCTGAGGCCGCCCCGTGGCCGGGCCCGGCAGTGGCGCAGCTCCGCGCGGCCGTGGCCCGGCGGGACGGGGGATCTGGGCTCGGTGGTTCTCGGGACGGGAACGCGGCCGCTCTGGGGGCGGCGAGCGGGCCCGGAGGCGGCGGAGCCGCGGGCGGGGGGCGCTGCCGGTCCCGTCCCGGTCCGGAACCGGGAGCAGCGGGGCCGCCGTGCCGGCCCGCCCTAGCTGCGGCGGGGCGGGACAGCATTCCGCGCCCGGGAAAGCGGCAGCCCTGGGTGATGTGAGGAACGGCGGAGGCCGCGGCGCGGGGACGCAACGGCATGTGCGTGCCCGGGCTGAGCCCCGGGCGGGGGCTGTGGGCCAGGGCAGCCGTGCTCACGACTGGGTTCCCCGGTGGGGGTCTGCAGGTGCTTGCCCAGGCCTTGCTCCGGTGCCGTGCGGCTGGAGGGAGAGGCGAACCCCAGCCCTGGAGCGGCTTGGGCACCGCTGCTCCTTACGCATCAGCTGTGTGCCCACCTCCTCCTGTGCTGGCCCGGGAGGAAGGGGAGTTCCTCCGTCCCTTCCTTCCTTGGGTTTCAAGAAAAGAAGTTCCCAGGAACTGGGAAGGAGCTTCTCGCTTGTCAGCCCCAGGCGAGTTCCTCCGTCCCTTCCTTCCTTGGGTTTCAAGAAAAGAAGTTCCCAGGAACTAAGAAGGAGCTTGTCAGCCCCGGGTACCTGCTGAGAGATGTGATCCATTTCAGGCAGGGACACGAGGTGAGAAGCGGCCAGGCTGGCCGGGTCAGAGGCAGGGGGCCCCAGTGGAGACACTGCTCTGTGGGACAAGCACCGTGGTGTCACCTTGGCACGCACAGGTGTGCAGGTGGTGAAGATGTGAGCAATCCTGAACAGGATTGGAGATGTGGGTGAAGTTCTGGCTGGCTGAGTTACACTTGTGTAATCTTTTAAAATTACACACTCCAAAAGGGGAAGGTATTAATCTCCCATCAGTATTTGGTGTGGTACAATGACAAGAGCAGAAGATAATCCCTTCTTCCTATTTCTCTATTATCACCTGGCTAGGAAGAGGAAAGATAGAATGAAACTTGACAGAAAAGAGCTTGATGTGAAAAGGTTTTTAGACATTAGAGGCATTTTAACCACAGTGGAAGCATGGTGCTGCTTGTAGACAGCTGTCAGACAAGCAAAGAGGCTGGCTAAGCTTCTGTAGCAGAAGAGCAGAGTTGAGCGTTGTCTGTGGAGTGTGTTTTGTTAGCTGTGCATTGAGACTGCTGCCTGTGGAGCATATCAAAGGAGAAAAGAAAGGACTTGAAATTTCAGCTCCTGTAGAAGAAAGACTAGAATGTGCTGAAAGTTGTACCAGAATTGTAGGGTAGGAGATCCCCAAGTTATTCTCCCTTATCTAGTGACCAAGTTTCAGGAGCTGAAGGAGATTTCATGGAGTTGGTGATGATGTTGAGTACTGCAGAGCTCAAAAAAGATGAGACCCCATGTGTGGTATCTTCTTGCTGCTGCCCGTGTGTAAGTCTGAACAGCACAGCCACAGATTTACAGATTTCATTATCACATCAGATGCTGCTGTGGAGTTACTGTTTATATAAATGCCTGTTACTTTTGCAGTTTGTGGGATTTTGTATTGCTGAAGGAAATTAAGTGCATGTATGACAGTAAAAACTATTTGTTTGGCTGTTTTAACAGAAGTAATGTTCTCTCATCCTCAGCCATCAAAAGTACAGAGCTATTCTGAAGAAGGAGAAGAGGAAAAAAAAGCGGCAGGCTCTTGCCAAACTAAGGGACTCAGGTAACTGAAGTATTTGGTGCTCTCAGTGAAACTAGAAGTGATTGGGGTTTTTTGTTTTTGTTTTTTTTTTTAAAGATATCATTATGTGTATCTGTGTTGGCTGTAGCATGCAGTTATCTAGCTGCGTTGAATTGTGTTTTTTTTCAGAAGCTGCAGAAAAAGATGAATCTGTGTCTGAGGAGGAAGAGGAGGAAGTGGAAGAAGAGGAGGAAGAAGAGGAAGAAAAAAAACTTGAGGCAGAAAGGTGAGAAATCTAGAAAATGGCATATATGCAATAAACACTTTTGTAATCAATTCCATTTTAGTACTTTGAAAAATTTGACTATATTCTGTGAAACACAATCTTTATTGAATATGTCAGGCTACACAGTCCTTTCCTCTAAAGCCTGAATGATTCCTATGCAAATTTCTCTTTAAAATAAGATTGGATAAGTTGCAGTTATTATTGTAATAATAAATACAACATTGATTTGTATTTATGACAGTTGCATCAGTCATGGGTAGTCCTTAAGTTGGTGGTCTAAGTGGTGTCTGGTTTCTTTGGTAGACAAAAACTACATGAGCAGTGGTTGCTGAGAGAAGAAAAGGCCCAAGAAGAGTTCAAGCTAAAGAAAGAAAAAGAAGAGGCTGCAAGAAAGCGTCAAGAGGAAGAAGAGGTATAAAGATGTAAAACCTTACAGTTGTGCCAGGCAACAGGGCAGCCTAGTGTAATAACTTTCATTATTTTGTGATGGGCCCATTTTTCTTGATGCTGGTGTGTTTGAAAGCGTAGACTCTGTTCTTTTGTATAGAAAAGCAGAATTGAAAAGAGAAGAAAGCAACAGCTCTTAAAAGGGTTTTTGTCAGATTTAGTTGCTTCTGACTAGATGAAAACTTAATGGTCAAGGACTTGTAGTGCAACATGGTGCTTTTGACTTTGATTGTAAAGCATTGTCCCTTAATTTATTTTTTCTGTTATAAAGAGGAAAATCAAAGAAGAATGGGAAGAGCAGCAGAGAAAAGAGAGAGAAGTGGCACAGCTGAAGCAACAGGAGAAGAGAGAGAGAGAGGTGATTCCTGGTGGTGGGAGGATATACATGTTCTGTGTCCTGTGACATGATCAGATGCAACAGTTATGCATGCTGAAAAGGGATTTTTGTATAAATAGCAAATGCATTAATTAACCCATTCTGTCTAAGCTCCTAAACCATTGTTCAGTGTTAAAGAGGGGGTCCATATACTGAAGTGTAACTCCTGTTAACCCATCTGGTTGTTCACAGCATGTAATTGTTTGTGTCAGGTAAATATGAAGGTACTGTGCCAGTGCACTTTCTGCATCATGTGTTAAAGATAATCCTTCCTTAATGTCCCAGTTAAACACAGTCAGTGCTGAAGAAAATGCCCAAAGAGGATATGGAATATGGAAGTACATTGCTGCTTAACATAGTTCTTAATCAAAAGATGTGTTACAGCTCTTCTTTACCTGACTCATCCAACAAGATGTATCTTTTTTTCAGAGTTCCTTGGGTGGAATAAAAATGATATTGAAGATACGAGTCCTTGATAACATTTATGTTAATGATACATTCATCTTAAGTTTTACAAGTTCAGTGACATGGATGTAAGATGTCCTACACAGTAATCCAGTGTGAGGATTGGCCTCTTATTGCCACTGCAGCTTTCTAGGATCTGGTCATTTTAGATTCTCCACAGTCACAAAGTTTCCAGTCATTTCACTGGGAGATGTCTTGTGGCTGTGTCTGATAGCCACAGCAGGAGAAGAGCCATGAGCAGACAGTTGTGGCTGTCTGCAGTTAATAGTTGGTTGTGCCATTGATTACATAACACTTGAATGAGGGATGCCAAAGAACAGCAGTTTTTGTATTTCCTGTCTTACTTGCTCTGTTGTTCAGGTGTCCATTTCTTTGCAGTGTAGGGAGAGAAAATTATGCTCGTGTCCTTTATTTAGGGTTGAGATACAGTTTGGAGAGAGCTGAACCATGATAACAGCAGGATTTTATTCCTCCCCTCTATCCTTGTGTCTGGGTGTGCCCAAGCCCTCAGTGGATAACTGGTGTCCCTGAACTAGATGGAAGCAGCTTTCTTTTTTATTTGGTTGTTGGATTCTTTGCTTTGTGTTTTTCTGGGTTATTATTTACAGGGTTAGTGAGTTAAATTGGCTCACAGAGGGCAATGACAGGCACCCAGAGGGAAACTGATTACCCAGCTAAAAGCAGAGCCACCCATTTTAGCAGCACAAGTTGTTTAATTGGTTTTGCCTGTGTCTTGAAACAGCAGTTTATTCCAGTTCTAACAGTGATACAAGAAAAAAACTAATTTCCCTCCCTAAAATGAAGCAATAGATTTTCTGGTTTGATGGGTAATGGTGGTTAGAGGCTTTTTTTGGAGAGGGTGAAGGATTAGTTTTGGCTTTTGTTTTTTTTTTTTTTTTTTTTTGGGGTTTGGGGGGTTTTTTTTTTTTTTTCTTTTTTTTTTTTTTTTTTTTGTTTGCGTGGTTTGGGGAGTTTTATTTGTTTGTTCTATTTCATTTTTCTTTATTAGGGTGGGTACTATCTGATATCCTTGGTGATCAGTACCAGATGCTGTCTGGGTCCTAATTTTTAATTGCATTTTTTAATTTTTATTTGCTCTTTTAAAATTTAATTAATTCTCTTCCAGTCCTAGCATATTTTCTTGTACTGATTATGTTAAAATATCTTTTTTCTAGGAACTTCATAGAGCAATTTATTAGAAGTAGTGTCCAGCCAGTTTTGGAGAGTGGTATTGTTATGCTCAGCCCACTTAGAAAAATGAAGGGAAAGAGTATCCTCATTGCTTTCCTGTGTTTGGAAAGCTAGATATGGTTAACTTACAGTGTTTAAGTTTCTTACCAGCTACATCTCTTGCTGTAACAGAGGCTCACTAAGCATTGCATTTTTCTGTGTTCCATAAAATGTGTAAGTTAAAACATTTCGTGCTACTAAACGATTATGGACTTACCTGTAACCAGGCTGTGTAACAGAGCAGGAGATAGATTTAAGCATCAATAGTTCCATGATAGTTTTAAAAAAGAAAATTAAACTTTTATGTTGTCTGTCATTTAGTTTAGGGATCATCTACATGAGGGTCTGTCTGATGTATCCTTTAACAGCTTTGTAGTACATGAATTGCTACAGAGCCAAAGTAAATCTCCTGTTTTTAGAGCAAACCCCATCACACTTTCATTATGCATAATCACTGAGCATTGTGAATTAGGTTCTTAACTAAAGAAACCAGATGTTTTGTGTATCCTCAGGGTTTTCACTAGTCCTGTGTTTGCACCATTTATAGGCAGCTGTGCAGAGGATGCTGGATCAAGCTGAAAGCCAGGTATGCTCAGAGACTTTCTGAAAAAAGAACTGAAAAGTAATTTAATTTCCATCCGGTGTTTTCCTTCTAGCATGCTGTCCATCTGCTCTTGAGAACCTAATGGCCTGAATAAATTTAATATATAGTGGCTTGCATGAGCTGTAAACAATTATTTACTGGGTGGAACATAATTAAGCATATTTCTGGCTGGTTGGTGGCAGTGCAGTTGTGCATGCTGATGACTGTTCAGGAGGTCTGAGTCAAAATGAACCTGGAAATACTGCTGTGTGCTGTTAAAAACCACTGTGCATGATGGCTTATTTGTGAATTGTAATTCTAAATAAATCTGTCAGTCCTGGCTAGCAAGATAAACTTCTCTTTTTAAGTAGATGTCAGGCTCTAAATAAGAGGATTCAGTGGTAGAGGAGGGCACAGATCCTTAAGGAAGAGAAAAAAAGGTGGGGGAGGGAGAAGCTTGACTGCTTGGATGCCTGGAAGAGCATGGATCTCAAGCTGGCAGTGTATAGAAAAGAAAGTTGCAGTTTTCATTTGACTCTTAGAGATTGCCTTAAAGAATAATTTGGATTTTTATCCCTGTCACATGGTTAAACTTGTGAAGATTCTTGTTCTGTTTAAACCACTACATGAATCTGAAAAATAAGTTTTAACCTATTTATCCATTGTTTATTGATTGCCATAGCTACATTGGAGTTACATTTGCTTCCAAATCATGCTTAAACAGTTCTTTAGGTAGGGAATCTGTTTCATAAGATGGGTAGGAAACTGCTCTGAACTGCTGCCTGCACAGAGCTCAAGATGCATTAGCAGTCATGTCTGCAAAGGAATAGTCAGAAATGTGGTATGTTAGAGGCTGCATTAGAGTATCAGTTCAGGGTTCATTTACTGCTGACATAACAGGGCTGTTCTGGTGACAGAACATTGTGGCTGCAAGTCATGAACAGAATTGGTAGCTGGGTCAAATGCTGCTTGTGAATAAAAAGAATTTTCAGTTGATTTAAAATGAGAACTTGGGCCAGTCAGCTTTACAGATTGTTTGGTTAGAATGACTACAACCAAGACACATATTTTAAAATATGTGTCTTGGTTGTCATTCAAGGCTTGCAACTTGATGAGGCCATTTTGAATTACAGAAATCTTAATGACCCAAAATGATCAATACAGACACGTTTATTTTCAGTGTTAACTGTGAATTTAATCTTTTTTTAAATTCTAGCCTTTGGCAGATTACTTTTATTTTAGCCTTTTCTAGAAGCACATAAAAGTGATAATGATGAACTTGCTGAGCTTTGGGCTGTTGCAGAGAAAAATAATTAAATAGTCCCAGCTTTCTCTCTGCCATGTTGTGGTGGTTTTGGCTGGGGGAGAGTTAATTTTTTTCATGGTGGCTAATATGGGGCTTTGTTTTGGATTTATACTTAAAATAGGCTTGAAAATGTGGAGATGTTTTTGTTATTGCTGAGCAGGGCCTACACAGACCCAAGGCCTTTTCTGCTTCTCATACTGCCACACTGGTGAAGAGACAGAGGGTGCATGGTTGGTTGGGAGGAGACAGCCAGGGCAGGTGACCCCAACTGTCCAAAGGGATATTCCAGACCATCTGACATCATGTCCAGTATATAAGTGGAGGGAAGAAGGAGGAAGGGGGGTACATTTCATGTGATGGTGTTTGTCTTCCCACATCACTGTTATATATGGTGGGGACTTGCTTTCCTGGAGATGGCTGAACACCTGCCTGCCCCTGGGAAGCAGTGAATTAATTCCTGGGTTTGCTTTGGTTTTTTGCCTTGCTTTTGCTTTCCCTCTTAAACTGTCTTTATTTCAATGCATGAGTTTTATATCTGTTACCCTTCCATTCTCTCCCTGATCCTGCTTGGGGCTGTGAGCAAGTGGCTCTCTGGGGCTTGGCTGCTGGCTGGGGGTTAAACCACAACACTGGTGTGTAAAGTGAGACCCAAAGCACAGGGCAGCTTTGCAAAACAATGCTTTAAATAGGTTTACCTTGTCTTGTAGAAACATAGTGCTCATAACTGCATGTGAATTCAGTTGTTAAGTTTTATTTTTGACATTCTGTTTCTTTACAGTTTTTTAACTTTTGTCTATTTTAATGTTTCTTCCACAGCTGGAGAATGGTGTGAGCTGGCATAACCCAGAGCCCCCAGAGAATCTGGGAACAGAGAAGGATAGAGCAAATTGCCCATTTTACATTAAAACAGGTTCCTGCCGATTTGGAGACAGGTAATCCATTGAATATTTACCAGGATAGAAGTGTGTTGGGAAGATAAAACAGAGGCAACTTAATTAGGTCATAAGCAAACTGAGGAAAAATGGCTGCATAAAACACTTCTGTGTATTTGGATGTGGATTGAGAGCGAGCACTGCCTGCTGGAATTGAGCTATTTATTGTTATGCCATATTACTGATGGTGTATTCTGGTTACATTGGTCACACTTGAGTTTTCCTTAGCTTAGACTCATGCACAGATATACTCTGACAGAAGGTATATATTCTGTTATTAGTACAGGTCTGAATGTCAGATGCTAGTTCTTTATATTTCCTAATTTGCACAAATTCAAATCCCAAATGGACTAAAGAAAGTAAGTTAGGTAAATCTGCACACTGAAGTTGTCAGGTAACTTCCAGAGTTCTCACTATTTAAATGTGTGATGCATTCAGTTGTGATTCTGGTACACTGACAGGGTGCCCCTATGTCAGGAGGGAAGTGTAGTAAAAGGGAAGAACAGAGAAGCTCATCAGGATGATGAGAGATGAGCAGCACCTCTGTGGAAGTGGCTGTCAAGTCCAGACTCTGCTTTCAAAGAGGGGGATGGAAGAGGACTGTGGTAGATGAACAGCAAATTCAGGAGTAGAGTGGGAATGATTGTTTGCAATTTAGTCAGGTGTCTCAGAATGTTTACCAGCTTTGACAAAGGAAAGACTTTGTCATATGAAACAAATGGCAAACTTGTTCCCAGAGGATGTAGGGCAAACCAGAAGTATAGATGAGTTTACAGAGTATATGTTCATTGGCAACCAGGAACAATAATGACCCAAATGCAGCTTCTGGTTTGAAAATCTGATTTTTTTTTTTTTTTTTTTTTTTTTTTTTTTTTTTTTTTTTTTTTTTTTTGTGCTAAGGAGAAACAACAGCTTAGCAGGGAAGGACTCTGATATTTATTACATGAATCTTCATCAGAAACTTACGAGGTTATTTTACTAACTTGTATCACTGAAACATGTGCGGTCTAGCTATTGTAGTTTTCTTTATCCTGGGAGAAATTTGTTCCAGTGTGACGTATATTCTGGATAATTATGAGATAATTCAGCTATATGGAAGCTTCAAGTTCACATCTTTTTTTTCTATTCTGAAATATGTGTTGAATTCCATAATAAAAATTTCACCAGCTATATCCCTGCAGACAGCATTTTTTTCAGATATCTGGGTCTTTGTAGTCTTTGCAGTATTTTTGTTTTAGTGATCTTTAATGGAGATAACTTCTATGGATTATTTATTGCATAAAACTCAGTTTTGCTTTGAACTTTGCATTTGAACTGTGAATAACCCTTGGAAAATAAATACTGAGAAACATCATATTCTGCCCTTCCTCTTTCACCCCTGTTGATCTCAGCTACCTCCGTTTCGTCTTCCTTCTTTTTCTTCACATACCTGCTTCCTTCATAATCTGGTCATTTTAACAGCTGGTGCTGTCTTAAGTTGAAGGACTGGTACAGCTAGGGTAAGGATGTGTTGAAAGAAGTTGTAAAAAACTAAGAGCCAGCATTATCAACAAATAACTGTTGAATCTTGTCAAAGCTCACTATGTCCTGAACAAGCTGAAACTGGCTGAGTTTGCTGCTACCAATCTCCCCAGTAATTCAAACCCTAATATTTTGCAGTAATATTGGATTCTTGGGTCATTCATTTTCCTTGGGGTTCCTTTTGTTCTGTCATGTGAATATATCATTTTGTTTACAGACAATATTAGGTGCCTATTATTGAAGTTGAACAGCATTTTTTCTATTATGCTGTTATTGAAATTGAACAGCAAAAGGAGGCAGCTTCTAAAATGTAAAAAAACCAATAATCATCAAATTGTTTCTTGGTTTCGTTTTGGGTTTGGAGATTGGATTTTTTTGTGGTTGTTGGGTGCCTTTTGAAATCTAAGGGGCCAACCAGAAGGTGAGAGTCCATTTCTGATTGACTGGGTACAGAAAAACTTCCTAGCTGAAGTCTGGGTTGTAGTTGCCCATTTTGAGACCTGACCTCCCTGCAGTTCTTCTGTGCTGCCCAGTGACATAAAGAGACTAGACTAGTCTGGATGTTTTCCTGGTCATGTCATGAAAAGGAGAAAAATGTTGGAGAGTTCATGACCCAATTGCTTGGAGATATATTGAATGGGAGTCATAAAGCACAGTGAAATAAACATGGGGAACATCTGTGTTCTTACTGAATCTAAAGGTGTGTAGGGGAGAACTGTATTTCACCATGTTGGTGAGGCAGCCTGAATATGATGGATGGTGATGGAGATCTAATACTTTTATGGCTGCCAAGAAGCTGCAGATTAAGATATGACTGATTTAGAAGAATCTCTTCTTTTGTTTGGGTTTTGGTTTTTGTAGGTTTTTTGGTTTGTGGATTTGGTGGTGTTGTTGTTTTTTCCTTTGTTTTGGTTTGGGATTTTTCTGTTAGAAGTGGAAAAATACCAGACTTATACTCATCCAGGTGCAGGTTTAAATGTGCTGTTCTTCCCACATTCCCATTTTCTACTCCCATATGATGAAAAACAACTTCAGCGAAAGTTGTTCAGTTTGCAAAAAGAAGAGCAGGGACTTGCTTTAAAATGTATTTTTAGAAAGACTCCTGACAATCTTTTAAGCCCTTCAGAAAATGGGAACACATTAACCCTTGTAGCTTAAAAGAAATTACTTCAGCTCTCATTGTGACACTGGTATCTATAGCTTTTGTAAAGTTGCTTTCTTAAGCAAGAATGTGTTAATGGCCTTAAGGAAGCCTTAAGGTTATGTATAAATTCACTCCGAAATATATGGCCTAGTAATCAAAATATCTTAGTCTTCCACTAATGGATTTTCTTTTATAGTAACTGTAACTGAAAATAACAAATGTTTGAAGCTTCAACAAGTGTATCTTCTGCTGAAAGTGCCAATGTTTCCACTTTCCTTTCTTCACTACACCTGTCCAGGTGCTCTCGCAAGCATAACTACCCCACATCGAGCAAGACGCTGCTCGTGCGAGGGATGTTCATCACTTTTGGCATGGAGCAGTGCCGCAGAGACGACTACGACACAGATGCCAGTCTGGAGTACAGTGATGAGGAGACCTACCAGCAGTTCCTGGAGTTCTACGAGGATGTGCTCCCCGAGTTTCAGAATGTGGGGAAGGTGGTTCAATTCAAGGTATGCATCTAAGCGTGGTTTATGAGCCTTACGAGGAATTCTGCCCAGCATGCCCCAGCTAAATCCTGTGGGCACTGGGGAGCTGTGCTGTGTCCTTACAACAAACTGTGCATCTCTCATGGCACCTGTAAACTTGTCACTGCTCTTACAGAGCACCATCTCCCGCTGGGTGAATCTTGTCTCCCATTCCTCTGAAGTGTTACAAAAGCTTCTATATTGCACGTTATTCACACTACTCAATAGTCCACTTATCTCATATTCCCTTCTTTTCTTATCCTGTGCTAAGCCCCAGAGAGTCCATTAAGACTGTTAGACAATATAAATACATCTGAGCTACTGTGTTTGGGCTTAAGGAATGAAATAGTGGGGATATGAAATGCATTTGGAGTGTACACCCAACCAATGTCATTTTAGGACTGTCTGAATAAAATAAAATCAGATTACAATGAACTGAAAAGATAGCATATATTTCACTAGGAAGAATTATAGAAAGGTAAGTTGCATAAATGGTCTTGAGATTTGTCATCCATCCTTAGTTTGTGCATTTGGTTTGCTCAGTGTTTTGTACTGATTTTTTCCCATTTATATTGTTGTTTCTTATGGGGATAAAAAGGGATCTGTAAATGGAGACCTCAGAGATGAATGATGTGTCCTGACAGTCCCATGTTGCCCCAAAAATGTGCAGCTTGGATAGTGCAATGTCCTTGTATCAGAATCTATTGCAGCATTCCTTTCTGCTTGCCATTCCTGAGTGTTTTCCTGCAGTCACCAGGAGGCATAGAGTGCCTTTTCTACTTTTGTGTTCATCTACTGGCAGCTGCCTCAGGACTGAGATGGCATTAGCATTTCAAGCAAGAGAAAAGTAGGAGTGAGTTTTCAGTAGTTGTATAATGAGCTTTATAGGTAAGAAACCTTCACTTGTTTGGAGGAGTAAAGCATCCCCTCCATATTTAGACTCATGGAATAATAGCCAATTGTCCTCTACTAGAAAACAAAATGCAGATTCCCTATGGAGCATGGCTTGAAAAGCCTTATCAGCAAAGTCAGTCCTTGGCTTTGTACCACGGTTCTGTACAGGTGTGCTAAGCTGCACCTGCTTGGGTCCCTGTGACTATTAGTGTGGCATCCCTTGGCTTCTGAGGCAATTGTGCAACAGCAGGATGATTCTCATGCATATTTTTGCTACATTAGAGATGCTTCAGAAAAACATGTTGGCTGCAGAGATCTTAAGTGTGAGTGAGCTGAGACTCTGTGACCATTTAGAATCAGATTATACACACCCCTCTGTCAGCTGACTTACTTTTCCAGTGTAGCCCAAGGTTTTATTCTGGCTGGTTTTTCTGGGAAGCTGCTCCAGAATCTGGAAGATCTTGATAAAACACTACCTTAGATTACTAGGGTTCTTTTCCTACCCAAAAATGTCTATGGCAAAATCATTCTCACTTGTTCTTGTATTGACACTGTTTATCTCAAATAGTTTGACTCCTTATCCTGTAATACTTAATTATACAAGTGCTTGTTATTGTGGCTGAAGGCCTTTGCTGATCCAGCATACAAAGAGGTATTCCCTGAGGGTCAGTCAGGGTTCAGGGATGAAAGGAGCCGCTAACTTTGTTTGCTGCGGATATTGGAGGAGGCCTGCAGGCAACAGAGGCTGGAATCACAGTTTGTCCTGGAGAACTGGGTTCCACCTGCTTGGACCTGCCTATCGGAATCTTTTGTAACTAGCAAGCTTTTTGAGATTTAATTTTTGAGAGCTTTAGATCTACTTTGAATGCTAAATTATTACCAAAAAGGTTTTTCAGAACCGTACAGTGAAAAAACCATTTTAAAGGGATGCTGTGAAGATGCATTGCTCAAGAGTCTCTTACTGTAATGAATCCCTCATTTCCACATGAGGAAACTAATAATTGTTGTCAGAGCAGGATTTGGCTGTTGCACAGTATGGTTGGCCCAGACAAGTACAAGACAATGGAGTACAAACTTGCTTGTGGACTAAGTGAAGCCAAGGTCCCAGAGTTAATCAAAGCATAATTTAAACATAAGCCAGAAAGGCTTTTTTTTTTTTGTGGTTTTTTTTTTTTTTTGGTTAACAGTGTTTTGAAAAACATCATCTCTAAGTTGATATGGATGAACTGTCTTAAATGAGAATTGCACATCTCAGAATGTGTGAGGTGCTGTACAGCATAAACCTTCCACTGCCCTAACTTCATGTTTCCGTCCCCTCAGGTCAGTTGCAACTATGAGCCTCACCTGCGAGGAAATGTGTACGTCCAGTACCAGTCGTAAGTACTCACAGTCTTACCAAGGGCTAGAGCTAAACTCCAGAGTTGAATAATGAATAAGAAGTGTTTGTATCATCCATGCAGTTCATTCTCACACTGTAGTGGGAACCTAAAATTGGTAAGGGGTGTCTGAAATGATTGTGTGATGGTAATGCCATCTGTTGTTTTTACTTTTTAAAGGGAGAAGGACTGTCAGGCAGCTCTGGCTCTGTTCAGTGGACGATGGTATGCAGGCAGACAGCTTCACTGTGAATTCTGTCCTGTGACGAGGTGGAAGACTGCCATATGTGGTGAGTCTTGGAAAAGAGAATATGTGTTACTGAAAGAATACTCACTCGTGGAAGTGAGAAAGAGGGATTAGGCTGTAGCTTTCAGATCTGCCTAATGTTATTCATTTCTGTTTGGAATACAAATGTGCTAACTTGCTTGTGTAGATCCACATAAGTATCTGAATTGTTCTAGGGGATTTACCATGGTCTAGAAAAAAGGTTTGAATTCTAGCTTTGGAAATAATAATCTTAAGGTGAAACTCCAGGAAGTACTAATTTATCTCTTGAGAAGCAACGGCAGTTTCTGGACTATCAACAGTTCTAAGAAGCAAATATAACATGTGACTTATCTAGATTTACCTTCTTACATTAAGGTAAATAAAACTTAATGAAATTAAATGTTAAGTTTGTTCTAAGCTAAAAAAAAATCTTCGTAGCTGTTAAAAAGCTAATTTCAAGAAAAGTACACAATGAAAATTAATTTTGTGTGAGTTAAATTGATAGGTGGTCAGATGCATGTTCTTCTGTTTGGAGAAGCAAAATTCCATTTACTACATTTCTTCCAGTTGGTACATAGTGAAGAAAGAGATTTAACAGGTCTGGTTCATAAAAAGGCAAACCCTAATCTGTTGCAGGCTTGTTTGAAAGGCAGAAGTGTCCAAGAGGGAAACACTGCAACTTTCTTCATGTATTCAAAAATCCAAACAACGAGTTTTGGGAGGCCAACAGAGACATACGTATTTCTCCTGAACGGACTCATCAGTTGTCTAAAAACTCTGAGAGGAGAAACCGATCGAGCCATCGTGACGACTATTACAGCCGGTCCAGGAGAAGGGGCAGCCCGAGCCCAGAGCATTCCTACCGCAGAAATGGGGAATCAGAGAGGAAAAAGAGTCGCCGCAAAAACAAGAGGCGGCGCCGGTCGGGGAGGTCGAGGAGTCGAGAGAGGAGGAGGTCCCACAGCAGGGGCAGGAAGAGGAGAGGCCGCAGCCGCAGTCGCAGCAGGAGTCACAGTCGGACACGCAGCAGGAGCAGAAGCAGGAGCTCCTCTCGATCCAGGAGCAGGGGTAAAAAGAGATCAAGCAGCAGAGGAAAAAATAGTGAAACTCCCAAAACAAAGTGAGAATTACTTTCAGAAATCACTAATTGGTAAAAATAGAGCTGACAAAGAAATCTTCCCAATAGGGCACCATATATATATGAATTTTAAATAAAGTGTTCTTGCACATTAAAATGTTTCTTCCTAATAAAGGAACGTAGTTTACTGTGTGCGAAGCTTGAGGAAATTTAAAGTTTTAAATCCTATAGAAGGTGTGAATGTCAAGACTCTAGCTACTCTGTCCCTCTGAACTGCTGCAACACCTGGATGCACATTGAGTACAAATAGAGAAGTGAAGCCTCTTTGGTATGTGCTTATTTCTGTTACGTGTATGTTAAGTGTTTACTGTTCCTGTAAGGAGTTAGTACAAAACAGCCAGTGTGCAGTAAATTCACAACCCAGCACACTGCAGATCCAGGTCTGTGTAGATGATTGCCATTTGTGTTTTTCATCTGTTTATCAGAAATTGCTTTCTAGACAAAGAAAATATAATCGTTTTATGAGTTGGAGAAAAGGGATCTCAAAGACATCACTGTTTGATTGTACAGTACTTGCCCAGTAGGAGCTTTTTGGTCATGAGTGTTGGATTTTTCTCGGCCCTGACTGAGCTGCTGAGCTGATGGCTTGTAGGGATTGCAGTAGACTAAAACCAAGCAGAAAGTACACAGAGAAACAATCAGTTTATTCAATACCTTAATCCCCAAGTAAGACTGGAGACCATGGAACTGTAATCCTTGAATGAGGTTAGAACTACTTTGCATACCTCTTGGTTGCACACCATTTGTAGGTGAAAACGACCTGCCTAACTTGTGCTGGAGGGGTGGAAAGTGTCCATGGGGAACCAAAGATGTGATTGTGAAGGCTCAGTCAAGATGGCTGCAGAATGGCTGAAGAAACTGAAGGGTTCATACATGAAAGACTATTTCATGGTTTTGGGAGAGGAGGACTTGACTTAGAGCCTTTTTAGGTTTATTTTACAAATAGTTTTAAGACACCCTACTGCCTTGCTTTCCTACCAAGGTGAAGAGTAGGGTACATAAAAATGAAATTATTGGGACAAAACCTCCTTGAAATGACAGCTACATTAGCGAAGTACCTACAGTTAGATAAATCCTTACCAATATTTTTTCACTTTTATTTAAAAGATTTATGTTTTAGATGTACTGTATTTCACATGGTTTATCTTCAGGTTTTAACTTGGGCACCTCATGTCCTCAGACACCTAGAAGGAGCTTGTAGCAGCGAAGGTGCAGTGCCCTACCGGTCTGTAGAGATGCCTCCCTGTCTTTAGCCTCTCCAAAGAACTGGGCTCCTGCCTTCAGAGAACCAGACCCCATGAGTTAGAAGCCTAAAGCAGGCATGAAGTGCTCCCAAATAAGAATTCATTACAACTCCCAGCAATGTAACATAAACTCCCTTAGACAATCTAGGTATCTGAACTTTACCAACAGCATTCCTCACAGCAAGAATGTTTTTCTCCGGGATAGTTAAGATCAAGTGAACATTGCTTCTGGATATGATATATATGTATATTTTTGCTTTTCTAAATGCATAGTGCACCTAGCATGCTGATTATACATTTTTCCTACTTTCTTCATGTGTAACTTGTCCAATATGGAGTAATACAACAAAAGTGATGTTCAGTTCAAACCCAACTTTCTTGACATATTGTCATAACTGTAGGCAGAGCTGTAGCTTAGTTAATTTGATTAAATGTTGTAGTTATTAACAGATGTAGGAATTGTAATTAATTAGCATAATTTTTGAAATAATAACTTTTTTAAAACGCATATTTCAAAGGATAGACAGCACAAAGTTTTTAATTCCATTTGAGAAATTTGTTACTGCCAGTTTCTTACAATGTACCTTTTTCTCACCTCACCTTAGAAACAAATTTTCCCTGAGGTTTCTATTTTTTTTATAGATGCTCAGTTGTCTCGCTGGGTTACTTGCACTACATGTGGCAAACTCTGGTGCAGTTGGCCACTAGCAGGTTGGTTACATCCTCCATTCCCTGGGCTGCCCTGCTTCCCACAGCTCTGGTGGGAGAGCTGGCTTGTGCCCGTGCAGACACTCTGCACCCCGTGTCACGAGGGCAGATGTCAAGGGGCATTATCCCAGCAAAATCAGCTGTCCAGCTCAAAGAAATGTGGAATGGGTGGTGGGAACCTGTGACCAGTCAGGTGAAATAAGCAAACCAGGCCTCCATGGGATTATGGGATTAGAAACTAAGTGCCCACTAACAACCATGTGAGAATTCCACAAGTGATTAGGTTCCTTGTCCCCACAGTTTTGCAACAGGATTTGGGAAGCTGAGTGGCTGTATTAAAAAAAAAAAACAAAAAACAAAAAACCAACCAAACAAACCAAACGTGCTCAGAAATGCATGTAAAAATTTAAATATACTTTATTTCTACTACTACAATGGCTGAAGCTTCAGCTTGTTTTCTTGAGGTCTGGACCCAAACATGCTGGCTGTACCTGTACAGTGTAGGACTGGTAGCTGTGATTGCCCTGCACTTTCACACACTGTTTATTACACAGAATTTGAGTGCTGTAGATCTGACATTTAGCTTGCATTTGTTAGCATGAAACCTAGGATTCCACCAGTTTTCTGACCTTGGAGTTTGTATTTTTCAGTATCGTTTCTCTGCTTCATAATCTTAAGTAGTGTTATATGCATGGTTTTGTGTTTCCTTATTATTATCTGAGTGAGCTATTTTATTCTGGAGAGACAAACAGACTAGAAGAACTAACTTTTTTAATGTTAAGCTTAATTATTTTCTTTCCCAAAGGGAAAAAGCCTCAGAAGAACATGGAAAGGATTTAAATTTGTAAGGAACAGCCTATTCCCACTGTGTGTTATTCTGCATATTCCACAGAAAAGGACCTTATAAAGTGAATTAATATGGGCCAAGTTTTATTTTGTTTTCAACAACAATTTAAAAGTAGCAGTATTTCAAAATACTTTTTTTCAGTTGTGAATTCTGCAGGGATCACGGTGGTGCTTTGGAGTAATTCTGGCATGTACCCAGATGTTCAGGATGGCAGTGCCAGGGCCTGCCAGACGCCCTGCTTCAGTCAGGATGGGGAGCAGGTGCTGCCCCTGCCCTTCAGTGCAGGAGGAACAGCCCAGCCAGGCAGCAGCACTGCCTTGTTCAGCAGCACCAGGGGAACCCCTGCAGGCATGGGCACTGTTGCTGCCCAGCAGAATAAAGGCATCAGGGAACTGGCCTTGGCCCCTTGCAGCAGAGTGTCTTCCCTCCAGCTGTCGCTGGTGGCCACTTCTGTGGGATTTCATGCCGTCTGCCTGTCCAGAGAAGCAAACCCCTGTCAGGGGTTGAGGAGGAGTGGCATTGTGTCTGTGTGTTGAATGCAAGGCATTTCTTGTGACAGGACACCCAACAAGGCCGTCCCTCTCTGGCCCCAGCCCTTGTGTACAGGGCACATTGTCCAAAATGCATCCCAAGTGACTCCTCTCCCACATTTATGCCCTGTGATGGCAGCATGGCCGTTTTGCATCCAGTTTTGCATTAGCACGTTCAGTGTATTGGAAACTGCCCTCCGGTTTACCAGTGACATTCCTGTGCGCTAAATAACTTGGTTTTTTTCTAAAGACATGCAAGAGCCTGCTAAAAGATGCTATTGCTTCCTGTCCTGGATCAGCACTTCTTACAAAACATGAAAGATGGAAGTTTATGATAGTTAATAACCTAAAAGCTTAATTTACTTTCTTATATCATCCAAAGAATGCAGCTCATTTTGCTTTCACTGTAAGCTTGTAATTGCAATGAACCCCAGTTCTTCCACATACACTGCTGCTCAGCACTGATGTAGCGGGTGAATTGAGTATCTGTGGCTGAAAACCAAAACTGATGTGACATGGACAGGTGACACTTTGTCGAGCTGTGGGACAGACTGCAACGCAAGCTGGACAGCCGTAACCCATGGCACGTGGGAACTTGACAGAGGCAGCCACAGGGTGACCATCCCTGTGGCCTTACCCCGAAAGAACAGCAGATGTTTAGGAAGGCCTCTTCGAGTTAAAGACTTAAGTCAGTGAAGTTGAAGACACTCAAGACAACAATCAACTTGCCTGAACAATCCAGAAATTCCTACTTATTCTTTAGCTCTCCCCAACCCTTCCACACAAGACAGGAAATTAAAAAACCGGAATTTCATTTCAAATTATTCTCAGAAATGCTCGAAGATGTTAATTTTTCCCCATGCTTTTGCTGATAATATCAAGCAGTTCAGTTCTTTTAGAAAGGTGGAGAACAGATTCATGTGACATATTTTTGATTGAGACCAGGATTGTAAACCTTGCATTGACTTGCTCAGAATTCTATGAAAAGAACTGAATATTCGGTCTGTATTATCCAGAAATCTCTCTCAACATGTGGTTTAATTTTCAAATGAAGTGGTACCACCCCATCAATTTAACATCCACTTAAATAAATTTTATGTTTAATGTGAGAAGCTTTCCAAAAACTTGCTAATTTATTGCTTTCTCTACAATTTAAATGGGTGTAAATAACTAAACTTGGACGCAGTATCCTCAACATTTTTTTAATGAAGTGCTCAAGAACAGGTTAAGCACTGTAATAAAATTTCCCTTTTTTTAAGCAAGCACTGAGTGGCCTCTTCTTTCCTCTGTGAATACAGGCACTAATTACATATAAACACAGCAATGGTGTAAAAATGGACATTTATTACAACTAAACCAATGTGACAGACAGAGATCAAACAGTTTGTCACAATCACAACGAAGCTTAATCCAGCCAAGCACATACAAATGACAGTGTAAACTTTAAAAACATGTTTAATACATATAAAATTGCTTCTGGTTTGACTTAAATCCATTTTACCACTACAATCTCACACACAGGGTCCTTTTGCTACCCCTCTACCCTCTACCCCTGCCCACTGTGCACTGGGGAAACGCCCTGGGACATGAACAGTCTCTGGTCATCTGGAATCTCTGTGTAAATCCTGGAATGGGCATCCATAGACAAGTTCTAAGGGCTTGAGTTCACAGGCACCACGCTGGTACTGCCCCAGGAGTGGCACACGCAGCCTGGGCCTGGCTGGCTGCTGGGGTCTGGATCAGGAGCCTCGGACGTGGCACCACTGCACTGTTCCTTCGGCCGCTACTGCTGAACCCACTCTCCAGCCGGCCACACAAGTGCTGCTGCCAGCAGCACTGCTGAAGCTAAGCTTTGTGAAAACATGGCACCACTCAGGTGAACACGCCAAAACTCCTAGGGGAAGGTGTCTGAGTGGAGAGGGAGGAGACAACCCCTCCTCCATGGGGACAGGCAACATAACTTGGCTACTCCCAGGTGTAGACTCCGACTGTCTGTCTCCCTCAAAATCACACATGGATCACATATTTCTGCTAGTGAAACAGGCTCAGTCTGTAATTACTGAGAGTCTGCTCAAAGTGTCAAAATATTACTGGATAACAGTTTACATGATTTGTGGTGAATATACTATACGAATCTAATGTAACAGAGCTCTCACTGCAAATTAGTTGGTTGAACTACATCACGCAGGAGTATTGTAAGGGATGTGTCACATGTTTGATGTGGTGTTCAAGTGATCAAGAAAAGCAGTTAAATGACTTTGACACTTAGTGTGTCCTAAAGGTACCTATACACCCAATAAAGCATAACTATAAAACACCAAAAAATACAAATTAATTGGTAGACTTTAAAAGAAAATAATAAAAGGTCCCTTTTGTAAAGCTTCTTCTTTCCCATCTTTGAAAGTATTCCGTTTTCATTATGCATCTCTATTCAGTCAGAAAGCTGCGCACATTTTCTTGTACTCATGGTCAAAGCAAGCTAATATCAGACCTAAAAACAGTCTCCTTATTCAGTCTGGGTTGGTTTTTCCTCTCTCCTACATGCATTCCCTTTGGAGTATAGTAACTTGCACAGTTTTGCTCAAGGTAGCTACACTAAAATACACTTTCAGGTCTAGTGAGTTGATCAGTTTTCTTAAAAAAGCAGTTATCACCTTAACGGTTTTTTACCAGTTTGATATGCAGATCCTGGCAGGATTCTTTGGTATAATGACAAATTCAGTAGTAAACAGACATTTCCAATCTTTATGCAACAACTGAAATAAGCAGAATAATCACAAGTGGTGACTAAAATGTAGATGAACAAATTCTTTGGTTGCATAAACACAATTTCTACACCATAATATTTCATATTTGGAGTTGTCCATGTAGCTTCTTTTCATTTAGGTAGGCTATGCTTATGTCATAATAATACATTTGTTTCCTGAAGTCAAGTTTGCTTATAAAAAACAGCAGACTTATTGAAGTCAAATGCAATTTTCCTATAATTGCAGTGAAGGGAAACACTGAGTCAATTTAAATCTAATTCCCTTTCATTTATAAATTTTGAACTTAGGTTTCTTGTTCCCTTTTCAAAAAAAAAGTATTTTTGTATTTTTCTTGTAGGCCTGAATGAAGCAGCTTAGCAAAACAGTAATACTGACAAACAGCATCTTACACCATTAGCTAAACATTACAATGAAGGCAGTGAACATTTACAGTATGAAACACTGAGATGGCATCAGCTGAAGAGAAGATTTATGTCAATCCAATTTCTTCAAGTACACTACGTGGGGTCTCTGCTTCCTACGGAGGGAAAATTTGAGACAGTAGTAAATGAACACTGTTTCTACTGAGCAGTGCTGTACATGAGTTAGTATGGAAGATGCTGAATTGAAAAAGAAAGCTGAAAAGACATGACAACATGGAAGCACTGCAGTTTGCAAACATGGTATTAGCTGCACTTTTCACAGAGCTGTTAATTAGATTGCCATGGTTCACAAGAATAGCTGGTAGATTTTATTGCCCTTAAGCATAATAAAAATAAAACAATTTAGATCTACCAGCAGGGAACAAATCAAAAGCAAGTTACAGAGATAGGAACTGGGGAGGGATAGGGAAGGATCTTGCAATGGAGTCAGTGAATTTTGTGGTGAATTGTTTCAAGGGTCTCAAAAATCTCTTCGGGAATAACAAGTAAGTGGATGAATGAAACTACAGACGCAACTAAGATACAGTATCCCTTAAGATCTTTATAAAAGAGTTTGGGTTTGTTTGTTTTTTTTATACAGTGAGCCCATGTTGCATTAATAAAAGCAGGTCATGGAACCTTGGTATGTCTGGAGTCAGATTGATCCCTTTTCAAAGAGGGAGGAGTTTTCAGGACAGGAATTTTATTATTCCACACCAGGCATGAAGTTTTAGGTTAATTCTAATCTTAGAAAGCTTTCCTTAGATTCAGAGAAAGCTGTTTAATAGCAAATTCCAAAAAATTATCATCAGTTTTGTATTCATTACTTCCATAGCATCTGAAAAGAAATTGTTTAAACTAGAAACATTAGACTGAGCTTTTTTTTAAAAAAACCTATTAACAATGCCATGATAAATAAAAGGGGATACTGTGTCCATATCAAAACAAAAGCTTTAACATGAAGAGGATGGATAAACTTACTTTAGCATCCTAAAACAAGACATGGCATGCAGCAGAAAAAAAAGGCATATAACAGTTAAGGCAGCCAACAAATTATTTTTCAACTGCTTTGCAAATATTTATTAGAAAAATAATGTCAGTAAAACACAAAATTAAACACCTCAAACCTTGCAAATAACATCAGAATATTGTCTCTATCAGCCTTGACTATGTGGCACAAAATGTTCAAGTTTACTATCATCATTCAGCTCATGTATAAGGTGATTCAGCAGTGAAGGAACAAGCTATGATACTTTAAGTCAACTTCATTCAAAAATCAGTCAGAGCTTGGAACAGGCATATCGAGATGGCTTCTAAAATCCAGCAGGAAATAAAAAATTGCAATAAAAAGGCAAGTTAAATCTGAAAACAAGATACTTGATGTATTAAAGACGTAGTGCTGGCTTGTTTTTTTTTCCCTCACTGATGCAATATTTTAATATTCTTAGAACTGCAATGACCTTGACAAAGCCAGACAGGATGGCAGGATTAAAGATTGACACATGTATTTTAACAAATCCCCAAAAGGAGGCACTGACTGAAGAAATGACCATGTAGCATTTCTAATAAAACTTTTTGTTTTATATTCCCAGATTAATTTGTTATTTTCATTTTAGAAGACACACACCTCCCCTATCCACCAAGGTAAGGCACTTTACTCAAGAAATCCTATACTGTTAACTAACTATGGCACCAGAACTCAAGAGCATTCTACAAGAATACAACTTCTCAAGCAGCTCAGGGTCTTCAAAATATTTGAAATAAATTATTTTTTTAATTTTAAATTGATTAGACAGCAGTGGGCACTTAAGATTACTCAGGTGTGCAACAGGATATTTACAAAGTTACCTGAAAACAAAGTTCTTCATAGCTGTGAAGAAATACAGAGCAGTGCTGCCACTGTTTTTAGAGCACTTTAGTATTGTTGTTTTCACTGCCATTTCGAAGTCTGAGATTATTTTCAGCAGGCATACACTTAAACTACATTTCTTCAAGTAAATAAGGTCTTTGGCTAACCATTAAAAGCAACCTATTTCAAGGACATTGGCTACTTGTCCACAGATACATCACCCATAGAACTCAGACATATTTTAATTTTTTTTTTTTTATTAGTAAAGCAGTAATCTTAAGGCAGATGTGCCTTCCTCATGAACAATAAAATCTCAAGGAACACCTAAGGGCTAATGTCATTTGCTAGAAGAATAACTTCATTAATTATTACTTTTAAGAAACAAATAGAATGAATTGTTTAATTCACATTATTTGTCTTACTAAGTGTCAAACATTTTATCCAATTCTTAGGTAAAACATTCTGCAGTGTTATATACTACCTGCAGCTCAGAATCACCCAAGGCAAACAACAAATTTGAAATATCAGAACACAGATGAGGAAAAAAGTCATTCACATGAGACAGAAGTGCATGCAATACTTTATTTCAAACATGCCAGAAAAGCTAATTCATTACCTAGTCATTTAGAAGCAAGCAGCTGTATACAGATAACAAGAAAAACAGCATCTCATTACAGCTCAATGCACAGCATTTTAAGCCAACAGGCATGAAATAATGCAGGCTAAAGCAGCATTAACCAGACATCCAAACACATTGTTAATGGCTTACAGAAAAAAGGCAAACTTGGAAATGGAAAACCACTCCTATGATCTTGTTTTCTAAGATTTCAGAATGCTGCAAATCCAATCCAAATCTTTTGTCTAATCCTCTAAATCTCCCAATTTTTTTTGTCAGTTTAACATTCAGAAGGTAGTGCATTACCACATATAGTAAAGGGAACTAGCTTGTTTGAGGTTTGTTTCAGTAACTGCCTCCTTGATAATTCATGGAAACAATTTTCAGAATCAGCACTGGTTTCAAGTTACAAACAGGACACATTACATGCCCTCTCTGCCCACTTTTCAACTGAATGCACTTAGATTCACCCTCGTGGCAGTTCCCCCACACACAAGGCAGCCTGCATTTAAAACTGGAAATGCATATTTAAGAAGGCATATTGCAAGTATACTGTTAATGGACTTAGATCTTTCCAACCCTAACCATTAATGGTTGGACTCAATAGGCTAAGAGGTCTTTTCCGACCTTAATGACTCTACGATTCCATTATTCATTTGTCAAGAAATGATACTGTTCTCTCTTTCAGTGGCAGTAACTGTTAAATTACTCACAAGAGCGTTCTGCACATTTAAATATAAATGTTTTAATTTCAGATTTACCCATCATTCTCTTTGACCTAATCAATTCTGCCCCCCTCCTTTTTGTAAGGTAGTCACACTTGTGCCAGTCTTCAGAAAGGGATATGGTTATTTGCACCTTTATTTAAGATGCATGGTCTGCAGAGAATTTCTGTGTGTACACACATTTCACATGATACTTCTTCACTACTTTCTCTGTAAGTCTTAACTTCACCTACAGACTTAATTTAAGAATATTTTTAAATACCACCACAACCTATTTAAAAGATAAATGTGGGTTGAGTAATGTTACAATATAGGTATTGCAGTATATAGATGTTTAGCTTAGAAAATGCTATAGAATTAAGCATAAGACTTCAAGCTTACACACAATAAAAAAGTTAAACCATATGGCAACAAGCACAAGTTTTGTTGAAATGAGACATGTGAAGAGACAACACTGTAAAACAGAGGGGGAAGAGGAAAGTACAACAGCAGAGAATGGTTGTGGCATTCTATTAGATTCAGGATGACTGGATTCAGCAAGCTGATGATAATGTTCTGTCATGAGTAAGTCACAGGTCTATCTCCTCTGAAACTCTGCATGCATGATGAATGAAGCCATTTAGTACACTGGTACATTAAAGTATTCATGACGTGGCTACAAAAGAAATGTACATATTCTTATACATAACAGAAAGGTGGACAGATATGCAAGAAAACAAAAATATTACTTCACTATTGTATCTCTGACATTAAAAGGACATTTGATACAGAAATACAATATTGTATTTTTGACTACTCTAGATGTTCAGGAGGTGAGGGTAGTGGGGAGAATCACTGTTTTACCCACCCCATACTTGCATGCTTTGTCCAACAATAGACAGAAAAACTTCATATCATAAATACTTTATTACATAAGCTCAGAGCTTCTTCTTAGCCAAAAAAAGTCTGAAGCTCCAGAGATGGGCAACCCTATCTATTATTTGTCTCAGCATCAGGCACCAACTGTTGGCTTCTGTCAGAGACAGGCACTGAGCTAAGTGGCATCTGACACCAGCCACCACATCTGCTCTAATAAAACACAGGTTTAGAGGTACCAGGCCTCCAGAAAATGGCTGTGAGCACACCACGCCGGGGTAGTCCAGCGGTGGCATTACTGGTGACAAGAAGTCCTTTCTTTGAAAGAGGGTCTGTTCAGAAAAATGGAGGCCTCTGATACACCTCTCAAAGCAGGCAAAGTTTTCACTGCTTTTGGATTATGCTGCCAAATTCAATAACACTCTTGTATGATTGGCATGAACATCAGTATTCAATTTGCTGAAAGATGAGCTAGAAAGAAAGCAACACTTAATTTTAATAATGGAGTAACAGTAATTTAGGAGCATCAGCCCCATATATGCTGAATTAACTTTTTCTGGGATGAGAACACACAAAACTCAACCTTCTGCATGTCAGCTTCCGTCTTTGATCCTGGACCAATTACCATCTTCAATCTATTTCAGGATCCCAATTCCCAGAATGACAGAAGTTTTAAAACAGAACCGAGAGAATTCCCATGGACTTCTAAAACTGTCTCCTCTGTGCCATCTCAGTTTATTTGCATGTCCAAGCTTGCATGTTTTTAAATTCTATTCTCAAATTACAAAAAAAAAGGCACAACAAAAATATTCCAGAAGCTATAGAGTTTTTATACTGTTTTTCAGTATCAGTAATCTGAAGATCATGTCACAGTAGTTTAAATTATCCTGACCAAGCTAACTACAAATCCTGTAGTTCACAAAATAATAGCACCTATATAACTCTGTGACAGTTACAAATAAGATATATGATTCATGCTATAATTTTTAGATTCAAAAGAATTTGGTATATAATAAAGAATTGCAAACCTGAATTTCAACACTTAACACCTCTCTCATGGCCTAAGTAAAA